TAGTAATGTGATAACAAATACATTGCGTAAATTCATTGTTAAATGAATTAATGGGAAATATGAAGAGAGAATAGTATTGTTGAAGTTGGAAGATTAGAATTACATATCCTTATTTGTATTATTATTGTTAGCGTTGTTTTAAAAAGATTTGATCCAGTCAATACACTGTACACAAAATATGTAAGGTGTGAAAAGAAAACTGCAAATAAAACATGTTTTTTTAAAAAATTATGAACTGGAATAGCCATAGCAACAAGTCAGCCAATGGGAACTGTTTGGTGACTGAAACACAGGATTGGTTGTCTGAGCCATGTGAGACGGCTTTGAGCCTGGATGTGGCTTAGCTTAACTGTTCTGTGCTGTGAGAGTTCATTTGTCTTTGCTTGAGTGTACTTGTTTCTTCTTCTTCTCTCTACCACGTTGCAAGAGCTGCATGGGTATTGTATACATGCATCATGAAATACATTTGGTATTACAATAGAACACAAATATGCCATACATATTTAATATGTTGATCTAGAACAACATATATATAAGAGAGACTAATATATAGGAAACACATTATTTTTATAAATAATTATGGTTATTAGAGAATTGTTCTTCATTATACATTTTTTCATCATTCTTAGTAGTTACAGTAATTTTATGCTACAGTAATTTCTCACATTTTAATACCACTAATCCAAAGAAAGATTTATTTGTTTGTAGTGTTGAATAATTGAATAATAAATTATACTTCATGATTTTATAGGCATTAGGAACTAACAACAGCATTCCTTATTAGGAAATCAATGTTAATCAATTCATCCTCAGTTCAGACAATATCCATCACATTAAGTTATTTTTTTTAAAAAAAATGACTGAAACTAAACAACCTTTAATATCTATTCACTAGAACTGTGATGGCAAACCTATGGCACACGTCCCACAGATGGCATGCATAGGCCTCTCTGCCGGCATGCGAGCCCTCACCCCCACCTCAGCTGAGCTCTGCATGCAGGCCTCCCGCTGGTCACCTGATTTTCGGGTCTCTGCAGCGCTGTTTAATCAAAATGCAGTTAAAACACTATTCAAGCTATACAAGTACAAAATATAACTATATATATCCAACAGGAACAGGAAGTGCCTCACAGGAACAGATAGAGGTAAATCCTAGAGAGGCAGGAAATGCATCACTGAACAATGGAGATGAATGCTACAGAGGAATAAAGCAGCAAAGAAGGCTGACATAACACCTGTAACAGCGTATGCATGCAGAAGGGGGCGGGGAAGCGTGGAGGGGGGTGCAGCGCGCCCCTCTCACACCCCATTTTTGGTCTCGGGAGGCCTACTAGGCCCAAAGCGGGGTGCAAGGGGGTCACGCGTGCATGCGTAGGGAGGGTGTCGTGCGTGCATTGTATTATGGGTGTTGGCATACACACATACACGCTTTCGTGCATGCGCGTGCGCTTTCGGCACACAAGGGCGAAAATGTTAGCCATCACTGCACTAGAACTTCAAAAAAATAATATATATATATATATTTAGTAAAGCCACACACTTTGACCCTAGCAAATTGCAATAAATATTACTCATATGAATAATAATTTGGATGTTGAAGATGAGTACTGTCCTGTACCAGCAATTTTTCTTTTAGCCATCTCCCATTTTCCCCTAAATTTTTCCTATTTACATAAGAGTCTTAATCTTTGCATATAAGTGTTTTACAATTTTCAGACTTCAGTAGATTGAGATCTTTTGGATTATAGGTTACATCTTATACAAATAATTACCCTTTCATATTGCAACTAAAAAGAAATGATTTAATCCAGTATACAATCACTTTTAAGCACTATTTAGTAAACATGAAATACCTTTACCTTATTCTGTGTTTTGGAGCTGATGGGTTCCATACTCTCATCTCAGGCTCACTCCCTGGGCAGATGATCAAAAGCCTGTGGGAAGGTATTTCTTTTGTCTTGGACAAAGAAATCCAAGATGGGACATTCTTTGTTATAAAAAAAAGCAACAACTGCACTTTGGAAGAATGTTCCTCATTCATCAGATGTATTAATGTTTCTTTTATCACTTCTGTCACTCTTACATTTTCTACCATGAGGGTCTTCTGAGCTGAATTTGCAGCATTGCAAAATTATAAGGTATACCATTTTGATATCAATATTGTTGTCCGGATGCATTTACAACCATCAAATGAATTAGAATTGAAATATTTTATAGACAGTAATTGGGCTAATGATGTAAAAAATAGAAAGTCAATTTCAGGATTTGTTGTAATGTTTGCAAACACACTAGTTGCTTGGAAATCTAGAAAACAGACTTCAGTTGCCATTTCCCCAGTTGAAGCAGAATTCATATCATTGTCAGAGTTGTGTTCATGTTCAATAATATACAATTATTAAAGGATTTGGATATTGAAGTGAAAGGAACTATACCAGTATTTGAAAATAACACAACATGTATACAAATGGCAGCAGGTCAGAGTAAAACCCAGAAGCAAACATGTTGAGAAAAGATATTGTAATATCAAAGAAGCAGTGAAAGAAAATGTAATAGATCTAATTTGTTGCCCATCAAAAGATAATTTGACTGATCTCATGATAAAGCCATTGTGTATACAGAAACACAAGCATCTTGTGAAACAACTTGGTTTAAATGCTGTTCAGCTATAAATTGGAGGGATGATATTTAAATTTAGTACCTGGAACAGTGGGGTTGTGCAGTGAGCAAGAACACAGTTGTGGTTGTTTAGTTGGAGAATGCTGGCTTCTGCATGAGGCAATCTGTAGTGTGATTGGTTGCTGTCGGTGTGGAGGGGGAGTTTCCCTCCCCCCACCACTTTTTTCTTCTGTGTGCTCTGTGATTTACCTCATGATGTAGTGATGTGTCTGTCTATCTTGTTTGCTGTATATATAGATGTAAAATATATTTATTTATTTAAAAACTACAAGTTCATGTCAGCATCTCTGACTTCATTTGGACATCTGCTGCACAATTCCCTGGCAAGAAGCAATGGCATTTTGGAAGCATAGAGCTTTCACAAGGAGGAGAGTACATTCCATCAAAAAGAAACCTAAATTAAGAGAATGCACAGTCCAATCTAGGGGGAAAAGGTTCATGGTAGACAAACCTGGAATTTCTCAGGATATATCTTGGTTAGAAAGTTATAACTTTAGTTTGGCAAGATTCTGTCCGTTAGGTGTAAGCAAGTAAACGATTGGACTCAATTGGTTTTTGCTGTGTTATCTTTGGGGTTGAGCCTGACATAACTGCAAAAAAAACCCCCTCCTATTCAACACACATAAGATCTGAATGAGCAACCTGTCAACTCACGAAGCATTCCTGACCTGCCCTCAAGTTGCCATAGGCAGGGGGATGGGGAATTGAGCCTCGCAGCTGCATCGAGGAACTTGTATTTCAGTTAAAACAAAGCACATTTCAGACGGCAATGTCAAGGTCATCTCCAGGGTGACCCACAGTGACCAGACAGAGTAACTTCTACAATCCGCGAAATTGTTTCGTTGGGAAATGTGACAGATGACACACCTTCGGGGGAGGGGTAAACAGTGTCAGAGCCAAGGCACGAATTAAGTGAGGTCAGAGTTGGCTTCACTTAATTTGTGAATAAAGTTCCTAATAAATAACTGGATTTCTTTTGAAGCTTGGCTTGAGGCTCATGATTTAATTAGGGCATCGGTCAGAACCCTGACGGCAAGCCAACTCTCTTAGTTTTGAAACTAATCAAAACGACCAGGATTCCTGAGCTCTCCATTCACTCCCCGACACCTGGGGTACATGGAGAGAAACTCAGGCTACCATGGCAGAGGGCAGACTATTCGAAGAGAGCCTGCTCCAGGTGATCCAGAGCAGGGCAGAACTTGCCCCCACCAAGGGAACTCCAGGAACCAGCAGTCCAATTGGAACCAAATTGCAACCCTCTCTGGACATCAAAGTCAAGACAACCGAGAAGCCTGCCCCAGCGACCAAAACAAAAGGATAGTGGTATTCCTTTAGACTTCTTCTTACATAAAAGGAAATATATATGGATATAAACAATTTCTTGAAAAGCATATAGAAATAAACCTCTTTGATAGTTGTTCCACAGTTAAGTAAAGCACTGAATATGAAAATATTTTATGAGAATTATAATACCAGTGGTGGGTTCCTCCCGGTTCGGCCCGGTTCCACTGAGCCGGTAGCGGTGATATGATGTCACCGAACCGGTTCTGCCCCCCACCCCCCCACCCCCTCATCCACTCCCTGTGTTATTCTTACCTTTTATTTGGCCCCATTCCCAATCTATTGCTGCCTCCCGAATCCCTGCTGATGGCTAGAGGGAAAAAAACTGTTTAAACTCTTGCTGCCGGGCTTCAAAGGGCCGCCCTACAGCTGATCAGTGTTAAAAGAAAACAAATGAGTAGACCGGTGCCTGCAAAAATAAATGGGTAGACCGGTACCTGCAAAAATAAATGGGTAGACCACTGCCTGCAAAAATACATGAGTAGATCAAGTGCCTGCAAAAATAAATGGGTAGATTGGTACAGCTCTTCAAGCCGTTAAAAGCCTGGTAGACCAGTACCTCTGCTAAATCCTAAATAATTGTCACATGACCATCAAGCCACACCCACAAAATAAGCTACACCCACAGAACCGGTAGTAAAAAAAATTATAACCCATCCCTGTATAATACTATAGTCTTACTAAGTATCACTGAAAGTAGTTGCTATGTATTTGATATATGTATAGGATTGCAGTGTAATGAACTGTATAGAATTAGAACACAATTTAGAGAAGGAAACAATTTGTTTCAGAGGTAACAGACTGGTTGTAATTAAAAGAGAGATGCACTACAGCATTGTCTCTCTTCATTCATGCATTTGTCCTCTTGTTTTATGGGACACTGATTTCATCCTGAAATAATCTGTGTAAAAGATACTCACTATAATCAGAATGACCAAATACTGCTTAAACTAAAGAAGGGACAAGAAAAAGGAAACAGTAGAGAAAAGAAAATATGAGCAACTTTATGAGTTGTGTTCCAACGTCCTCCCCAAGATCTTTTGCATTTTATTTTCCATTTTGGTTAGTTACATGGCCACTGGCTTCCACCAGGCTTCTGCATGCACCTTTTGACAGCTTCACAAAAAGGTCCACAATACAGAGTTTCATATGTGGGAAACGTTCTTACATTCAAAATAGGGTGACAAACAGTTTCTAGAGAAGGTCTTATTAAACAGTAGGGAGAGAACATAGGTTATCACACAGTACCTGGCAACAAAGCATCATAGACGTTGAATAGACTAGAACAATTTTATCACAAAAATCACAAAAAAGTAAAGAATCTCTCTGTTATGCAAAATATACATTTTAAGATCTATTTCATATTTTCTACTTTATATTTACTAATATTTTGTGATCATTTCAATAAAAAAACTATAATATATTTAACTGCCCATATTTTATTTCTTTCAATACCTATGAGGTAACAATGAAGTAAATCAAAACAACAACAAAAAGCATCTATACAATTCTGGCGAAGTCTGTGATTTTTTTCTTCAGTTTACTACTTTCACCTACATTCACACATCTCTGATCCAGATCAAAACTAAACCATCTCTTGGCACATTCACAAGGATTCATAAAAATATAGAAACAGCAAACTGAGAGTGCAAAGACTTCTTGAAAAATCCTATGACATTGATGTTCTTAAGTTACAAACTTTGCAAAAATACAGTTGCTATGAGGAAACATATGTGTTAACATCACTATTGTTAAATTGTGTGCCTTTTATGATCCACAGTATGGCCTGTTGTAGTGACCAAGAAGAATACACAAAGAGTTGTGTTGGTCTTTTTTCATGGGGTTTCAGAGATGCAGCATCCCTTGGTGTAGACGTCTAAAGCTGATATTCCATGCACACACATCTTATTTACAGTTGACTCATCAATAGTGACTAATAACTGCATCTGCTGGCAGCAGCTGTTAAAATTGGTCCTTAATCCTCATAACAAGCTCGACTTCCATAGGAAATTAGAAGAATCTCTTCAAGGCGTTAGGTGATGATCAGGGCCCATTCAGGAGGAGCAAACTCTTTCCAGTACAGTCCTTGGTATGGCTAAATTCCATTGTCCCTTTTTCAGCAGTCAAAAATCCATGATAAATTCTGTATAACACTGTAGCCAATAATAGCAGCATCAGATATTAATTTCTTGATGAATCTATTTTCATATTAAACATATGTACTGTACAGCTATATCTGCAAGTGCTATTACCAAAACAGAATGTACATCTCCATATATAAGAAATATTAGTATTCAAATACAACCTTGTACATTTTTATATAACATGCATCTTATGCAAAGAATGTTACATGTTTAGATACATCTGTTTTCCTAGCAATCCTAAACATACAAAAATCTGGGAATTTTCAACAATCTGAACTATCTCTTATAATACTTTTTTTAAAACTTTAGATTTTTAACTCTTTCACATTGTTGGGTGTTTTTCCTCACCAGCCCAAAACTTCATATCTGCAACTAAGTTCATGATGTTGCTTAAACCATGTTACCTTGTTTTTATTATAAAGAAAAAGCAATTATAGAGAATAAAATTTGAACATAAAGATGAATGCAGATTGTAAAAATGTGGGATTGAAGCAGCAATCCTAATGAAATGACAAAACCATTGCTAAATCCCACCTTTTGAAAAATGTTAAGGAAGTGGCCATTTATTAAGCTATACTTAGCATATGCATAGATACATGTATCAAAAAGTGGGGGAAGGAAACTTACATGAAAAGAGCAGCTTTGAAGAAGGCAACTGTGGAACATGAAGACAGATGAAAAATACAGACAGAAAAACAGTAACACAACACACAAGACAAAGCATTTAAAGAAAAAAAATAAAGAAACATTGACAAATAAATTGTGAAAGCCTTAGCGTTAGAGGTTTAAGGCTGGTCAAAACCCCATTTTGAAACTATTATCCTCTTACAGCTATGACAAACCCAAACTATATATATATATCTATATATAGTTATATAGATATATGTATCTATATATAGATATATAGATATATATATCTTTATAAATATATATATCTTTACTTGGTGCTCTGCATCTGAAAATGTTGAAGAATTCTGGAGAAGACAAATGACTGCACTACCAAGCAGCACTTGCTAACTTAATATTGCAAGCCTGGATTGTGTTTACCTTTCTTTCATGTTTTGTGCCTTCCCCAAGCCATTAAGAAAGAGATCTGGCCTCTCCTTGCGTGTACCCAGTAATGACAACCTCTTTGCAGTTATCTGTGTGCAAACAACCGGAAATATTCAGAACTCTGATATATTAACCCAGTACCAAAATAAATCAATCAAGAAATAACATTTTTGGAAAAAAAACTTAAAATAAATCAAAGAGAACCAAAATAAACACAAACTACCCAATCCCACATGCAGACCCATCGAACATCGCTCTGATTTCAATAAGATGGTACAATTAAAAACAACAACAAATCTACACAGTCTTAGGTCATCTATGATTCCAATTAATCTGCAAGATGGATTTCAGAAAATGGAAACAGAATGGTCAATGAACATGATTAGACGGAAGTCACACCCTATGCAATTATGACAAGATCTCAGACATATTCAGAACAGGTTGGAATCACAAGAAATGAAGGTTCAATGGAATAATTATCAATGGAAGCACATTTATTTAAATATATCTCCCTGAAAATATGGTCATTTATTTACATTGTTCAGGTTTTTTTTTTTTATTGCTGTGGTAATGTAGGACAATAGCGGTGAAGAGAAAACAAAGCTACTGTACTTTAGAGGATCTTACAAGCAAAATTAGGATATCCAGCTATCCAAGTGCTTTTGCTGGACACTAACAAGTATAACACAGATTTATACTTCTGTCAATAGAACTTGGTTAATGCTATAGCTATTCCGTTAATTAATAAGCAGCATTTAAATTGCAGAAATGTAATCAACTTATAGCCTCTGGTTTACAAGATAGATGGGATTGGAGATCGAGAGCGTCTTAGACAAGGTGAGCTGTAAGGTGATATTACAGGAGACAGTCTCAAGGCATTGCCTGCCATGCCAGTTATGTTGTTTAAACTTCTGGATTTTTCATAGCCTTTCATGAGAAAATGCAGACATTAGTTGAGTTCAGTCAGAAAATAGGCAAACAACACAATGCAATGTAATAATATGTTTTCAATGGATGCCTATAAAAAGTCCTAATGTTTTCTTAAATAATAGACAAAAAGATAAGATGCCACTATACTTATCAATAAAACTTATATTTTCTGTACATTTTAAGTGCAAAGACCACTGGCATATACTTGCTATGTCTCGGTTTCATCAATGATATTTAAAAGAAATAGTGTAACTGGCTCTCTTATAATGTAAGTCAGTATCATAGTTATAGAACAGTTTTCCCCATCCAGCAATCAGAATGCATCAGTGGAATTTTATTGATAAGTATAGTGATACTAAACTAGTTCTGTGACCTAGAACATTCTATACCTATATTCATGAAGCCTATTTTTTTTATTTGTAACGCCAGAGGTTACATTTATTTTGTTAAATCGCTCCATATGCAAAAGTGTTCCGATCAGGCATTCAACATCATACATTTAATACTATTTAAAATTTGATATATTTGAAATATTTACAAGATTTGAAATTTATTAAAATATGTGTATATTTTTAGTGTTTAATTATTCAGTAAAATCATAGTATTAAAGTTTTCTAATGGCTATATAAAAAATAAAGAGTGAGTGCGCACTTAGGACACTAAAATGAGCAGTATTTAGATGTTATTAAGTAATCATTACATCTAGAGTTATAGAAACTCTCTTTTGATAGATCATAAAACCATGTTAGAAGTAAGCATTAGGCTAGGTGCTCGCTCCTCCTTCACTGGTAATAGGATACTGTTGTATTATCTTATCTAAACTAGAGTTTACTAATTTAAGCTCCAGCACTAAAATCTATGCCCCATGTGAATTGGGCAAAGGTGATAGCGAAGGAGTCACCCAATATTTCACAAACTGTATAGTTTCGACATATGTGAATCATGAATTTGCTAAACAAGTTTAGTCTGTGGCCTACTTCATTAAGTATGATTGATCTAGGTTGAAGCAGCAATGAATTCTTTATCAAAGCAACTAATTCTCAGGTAAATGCAATATACACAAAATGCCATTCTTATTTGGATTACAATTTCATATAAATTTAGCTGGGAATAAATTCCACTTATTTTATAAAGAATCCATTGCGAAGCAACTAAAATATATATTGTAACTGAATTATACACAAAATAAATATGATAATTCTTATGACTTTCATAAAATGTGTAGTAATAGTCTCTTTAGCTATAATGTAATCTTACTCTTATGTAAACAATTATGTATTCCTTATTTTTTGTTAAATTTATATCATTCCTTTTCTCTGGGGTATCAAAGCAAAATACACACTATTCCTTTCTGAAATTTCTCCTCATAACCACAATCCTCTAAGATAGGTTGGCTTGAGATAGAATGACCGTGAGTTTCCACAGCAGAGGTTGGACACGGTCCAAAACTTCCTGCTCTTGGTCTATAAATTAACTATGTGGGTTATCTAGTCAATAGGAACTGTAGAGAATGAGATGAATAGAAATACAAATGCTATTTGATCTCAAAAGCAACATTCCTTTAAGATAGCACCCATAATTGCTGCAAATACACCAGGGTTTCCCACAACAAACACATAAAATACGGATGACATACCTAGGGATGTAAAAGAAATCTGTGGGAGCAGATTTGCAAGATTCCCCAGTATGGACTCTGTTGCAATAAAGACAGTAGCACTGAACTGAGTCCGCTAGTGTTCATCTTTCTCTGGTCAAAAATCCGCATAAAAATTCCATTTGTTTGTGAAAGATGCATCTGAAAAAGAGTGTTATGTTTCTGAATGTTGCATACAAAAAGGGGTACTTACATAAATATTAAGGAAATGTACATTTTAAAAAGTACTTGGGAAATTTATGAAATAAAGAATAGCACATGGAAATTTGTTTTAAAAATGATTTCTTGGGGAATTTACATTAACAACTAAGTACAGTAATAAAAAGTGTATATTAAAATGCCATATGTTATGGAAAACTGTGAACAAAAGTGGATATGGATTTTCAAATACTGCTTCCAGATCCTAGTGCAAAGTGGTATTTAATTTTTTTAAATAAATAAAGCAATAAATAACCTTTTGGGGAGAAGGGGTTTAAAGATTGGATTGTGATTCAAAGATGCATGTGACCTAGGCATGCCATTGAACTTTCATTGGTTTGCTGCAGGGGAAAAATGTAATAACACCGGTGTAGCTGAAGCAATTTTCTATTCAACATAGTGGAACTATCCTTAATTTAGTGGCTTTGGGTAACCATGTTCCTTCTTTCAATACAAACACTTTGTAAAAAAATAGTACCTTAAAATTTCTATTTCTTTTTCAGAACTTGGTTTTATCTACCTCAGAGTTAATGAAACCATCCTCCTACAGCAGGGCTGTCAAACTCACGGCCCGTGGGCCAGATGCGTCACACGCTGGCCATGTCCATGCCCGGTTTAGCAAAGGGGGGAAAAGTCCTGATACATCACATGACGACACTGTGACAACATGAGTTTGACACCCCTGTTGTACAGCATAAGCTAAATTACAATAGTAACAGATTTACATTTAAATTATCCCACAGCAATTTCTAATTGTTTAGAAAGCGATTTAATGAAAATGGTCTAAGCTACATCTATATTCTTTCAGGTAGACAAATGAAATCATGAATGAAACAATGACATATTTTTCAATGAATTAATGAGCCAAAGACATTTCTAATACGAAACAAGAAAGGGACAACAAAGAAAATATGAAGGAAAAATGCTGACTATAGTATTTCCTATAGCATGTATTCACATCTGCTTTATTCCAGGATCATTTGTTCAGAAGAATAGTGATAAAATTTATAGTCTAATGAAAGAATCCATACCTTTCCTGATCCCTCCATCAGTAGCACATGGGTAATCACCTGCTGTCAGTAGAAAACATGTTCCCCCTCTTCTGTTTTTGTCTCTGGTGCTAGAGCGTCTGATTGGTGGGGGCCTTTCCATTGGTGACAATGGCTGCTCACTTTCTGTACTGTCTTCACCTGATAACACTGGTCAAAGCACCACGCCCATTTACATCATATAGCCAATGAATAAATGAGACATCACAAATAACTTGCCTTATACTCTTACTATTGAAGGTGGAAAAGAAGAATAAGTAATAGTAAGTTATGAAATGAAAAAAAATGTTGCTCATAAAGCTGAAAATCTATGATTTCCTAAGGAACAAACAAACTGGCCATGTAGATGGATGCTGCCTTCAGTATTATATATTGCCTCAGTATCTTCGGTATTTAAAAAATACAGCAAATGTTGTTACTATAGCATTTCATTCACTACTCAAAGAAATCAATTGGCATTAACAGCAGATGTTATATTTCTACATTTGATAATTAATAATTAGGGAATTCTTCCAGGTTCATCCAAGATATTTTGCTGCTTAAAATAAAGTTGGTGACAATCTCATGAGGAAAACCACTGAGACTAGGCTAGACTATCTTTCTACAGTTGTGGCAGTGAGACAGTATATTACACAAGATAGGCTACATAATGTCCACAGCTCTGTTTTCTAACACTTCACTATTGCTTTTACATATGCAACACCTGCAGTCTGAGGCCCATCTGTCACTCAGCATAATGGTAGACTAAGACACTAATGAGTAACTTAATGTTCTTCAGTAGAGATTGTAAGTCACAAATTTAAATGCAGCTTGTGAGCCCATCATCTGTAAGATGTTGATAAATGTATTACTTTGTAAAATATTCATAGGGCAGCAAAAGCAGGAAGGCATTAATCAACCTGCAATTAGGCTAGTGCTAAATTCAGCAGGTAAGTCCCAAATTGTATAGGTACAATATGTTGCAAGGTTTATATGGTAGACAATCAGCTAGTGGTCCTTAGCAATTCACAGAAATCTGCTGTTTTAATCTCTTCAGATCGTATAAATCTTTCGCTGTTTTAACAGATACGTCTAGGTTCCCTCTGCCTCAAATTCTGCAGCTCAAAAGGAAATGTTTGGTTTTTCTAGGTTGTTGGTTAACAATCTGCTAACACTACACATTCTCCCTTCATAAAGCTTCCCTATCTTCTTAATAACACATTAATTAGATTATTTTCTATACTGGCTCCTTTTCAAACACAAATCTGTATTCAAGGACTCTGGAATAGTTGATATTTAAAGAAAAGGCTAAGCTATCTTCTCCAATCATGGTGCTCCCAAGATAAAGCCATTTTATTTGGAAATTATAGGGTATAAATCAGATTTCAAGAAAAACTTGTCGGGGAAGACTGTAGTTTTTTAATATTTAAACCTTTTCATTAACCTCTTTGCACTAAAAATAATATTATTATGCAATATATTAATATGATAGAGCTATTTTATTGATAGCAGTGGAAACTGAGGAACATATAGACATTTGAAAAAAATATATAAATTTCAGCTCTGATCATCATGTTTCATTTCCCCTAGTCTCCCCTTACCAGAATCCATTATCCTACTCACTTGCAAACTGTGCCTTCTCCATGTTACGATATGATAGAGGAAGCTCATGAAACATAAATATTGTTTCTTCTTTCCTACATTTTTTAAACTCTGTATGTGTGTGTGTGCATTTACGTATCAGATTTATTAAAATTATATCTAAAGGATTGCACTTTTATTATTTGAAAGACAATTGGTTGAAAGAAAGTTCCACTGAATTTATCAGTATTTATATCCAAACAAACACCTGGAAGATCACAGTGTTAATAACATTATGAAAAGTCTCTATGGATTATTTACTTTAGACAATTCTAAATGACAATCTTGTAGCATTCATACTTTAGTCTACTTAATATAAGGTACTTTTAAGTTTAGATCCTAATCCAAACTAAATAGATTTCTTACTGATCTTAACTTAAATTTAGTTTATATTTGTTTCCTAGGTCAAGGATAACAAGTGAAGTGAAACTTAAATAGACAAAAGATGTCATTATTCTTATAGAATTTTCAAACTATTATAAAAAATATTTTGCTCTCTGAATATTGGAGAAATTACTACCTGTTCTAAGTTATGAAATGATACTATTATTGTAATCTAGAAAACACATTGTTATATGATTATTTGTTCCATTAGATGTAAAGTAGACCAGCCTAGAATTAGACCTTCTTAAGATCCATGAATCCTTAACTCTCAGAAAGCTTTGGCTTCAGTAGTGTATGAAGTTCAAAGACCTCAAAGCCACTCATTTGGGATAGGACAACCTAAGCTAACCTATGTTTAAGTAATGTAAAGATTCTGCTAGTATTTTGTAACACCAGCAAACAAGGGAAACATTACATAAGATAAAAATTCAACAGAATGAAGGCACAGTTGCATAGCACAAGCATGCATGAACTAAACACCTGTACAATGCAATAAGCAAAAAGAGAGGAAGCCACCACTAGAAAAGAAAAATGGGGAACAAAAAGCAACTTAGCATTAAGAATACATTTAGCAAACACTATATAGAAAGCAATTCACAGATCCAAGATCTAGCTACTTTGCCATTTATGGGACTGGCACACAAATAGTAGTTGAAGGGAGAAGTGTATGATCTATCTCTTTCAGCTGAAGAAAGTTTAAATGTTTTTTCATTCTTTATATTGCCAGACATACCAGACATGCATCTGGAATTGTGTCCTACCTGATTTATTATGTTCCATCAGCCGGTTGTCTTTGCCAAGACAGACTTCTCCCTGTGTGCTATTGCAGGCCATATTCAAGTCTGTCTTGCAAAATGTAGGGGACCTTGCCTGAGGAGCAGGTGGGATGTGCTTCTTTCTCTTTCTTGGAAGCTTCTGTTTCGCCATGGCCAGAGAATAGTACATTCCAAAATTGTTGACAATAACAGGCACAGGCATGGCTATGGTCAGCACTCCAGCTAAAGCACACAGAGCACCCACTAGCATGCCTGACCAAGTCTTTGGATACATGTCTCCATATCCAAGAGTAGTCATGGTGACTACAGCCCACCAAAACCCAATTGGAATGTTTTTGAACTCTGTATGTTCACTAGCTGATGGGTCATTGGGTTTGGCACCTATTCGCTCAGCGTAATAGATCATGGTGGCAAATATCAATACTCCTAATGCCAAAAATATTATCAGCAGCAAAAACTCATTGGTGCTTGCACGGAGTGTATGACCAAGCACCCTGAGGCCAACAAAATGTCGAGTGAGCTTGAAGATTCGCAATATTCTCACAAACCTCACCACCCTGAGGAAACCAAGCACATCCTTAGCAGCTTTAGAGGAGAGCCCACTCAGACCCACTTCTAGATAGAAAGGCAAAATTGCCACAAAGTCAATGATATTCAAGAGATTTTTTATGAATTCACGTTTGTTGGGTGAAAAAACAACACGGACTAAAAACTCAAATGTAAACCACACCACACAGACTCCTTCGACATATGTTAGAGCTGGATCTGTCTCTATTTCATACTGCAGAACTGGCTCGCTACCTTTGATAGGTTCTGTTTTATTTTTGATGGTATTAAACGCTTCATGGGTTTCCAGGCAAAAGGTGGTAATCGAGAGTAGGATGAAGAATAAAGAGGCAAAAGCAATGAACTGTAAAGGAAAGGAAAGGAAAATACATTAGAAAAAGACAGTAAAATCCAAAAATGGTCCCCAACAATATTACAATTAGAACCTTTGCCTTAACTTGCCTTAATTAATAATTAAGTATTATAAATGAAAGGGCTATAATGTAGAACAGGATATATGTCATCTGGGTTATTATTGATATTAATTAATTTTACTTAATTTATGTAGCATCTATTTGCCAAAGAAGACATTACTAACATTCTCAAGAAGCACTGACAAGTTTAAAGAATAAAAAACAATGGATAGAAAAGTATGGGATAGTTATAGTGAATTCTGTGGTGCAAGACACATTTCCCTTCCTTTTTTTATTTTGTGCTTTTGATTTCCATGCTACTTCTTTCTGCATTTTACACAACATGGATTGAAAAGAACATGATATGTATGCATGTAGGTGGCTGACATGTATATCTGCAAATAGTAAGAAAATACTTGCTTCTGGAAATGTACTTAAGCAAATCGACATTTAAGCAGTAATGCAATATTATATACGTACAGTCATGTCTTTTATTAAATTTACTGAAGCTTATGGCATAGTAGAATATTTACAGGACTGAATCTTCATTCTTTCCCAAATGACCCAAAATTATCCTTTTTCTTTGGAAGTTTTGTTGGAAGGGCTTGCAATTTTACTCCATGTAATGGAACTAGGATAAATGTTAAAGTCTAGTATTATATACTTTCTTTCTCTAGCTGACAAAAAAACAGTGGGACAAAGTCGCAAGGAGAAAAATGTTCTCACGTGTGGAATCAAATTTAATATTTATTTGGGGTTTGATAATATATTCCATCTTTAAGTAAAAGATAAAGTAAAGATGATCTTGAATGGAGCTCAATGTCTACTGACTATATGGACACAATCATGAAGTCACAAGGCTTTTTTGCTGATGTTAAGTTTGCCATTGTCTTTTCCAGCATGTTTTCTACTTATAGCTCTAGAAACACAAACTTATTTAATAAATTTATTTATAAATTTATCCAAACTACCCAAATGCTATTTTTTCAAAAAGGGGAATTATTATTGCAAGCTCAAGTCCCTCAAGATACAACTTTGCTTGATCATAGATAGTAATGGAATGGTGAATGGAAATTCACCATTCTTATTATTCTTGATTAGCCGGAGAAGCAGGGAGGGATTAATTCAAACTAGAGCCTTCCACTAGTCTTAATTACTTAATGCAATTAAATGCTTAACCTTTGCAATCATTACTACTAGCTAAGCAGATAATTCTATGCAGCATAGTGGGTCTCTTTGATTCATTATGTATATAGTTCCCTAAAATACCTTTTGCCAATCTATAGTAGGATGCAATATCCAAAAACATCAGACTATTATTAAGATGATCCATTGTGATATGCTAAAAAAAAGTCATTAGTTCCTATTGACCAAATAAAATATAACCATGCCTTTTATATTGGCTGTTCACCCATATTTAGGAAATCATTTGTAAAGTCTCTTATGTTTAGAAAACTCTGCATAAATATTAGACTTTCATTAGCCTTATGGACAATAGAGTTGGCAGTGAGTGTTTTCTTAAAAGTTGGAGAAGTTGTCTTTATTGTAATTTGATCTTCAGAGTGAATGTGGATGGCATCTTATCTCAGATTGATTAACAGTGCTATAAACACTAACCCTTTCGCTTCCACGGTCATCTTACAGCTACAAGATGTAGCTGTAAAGAGTGAATATTATCATTTTCCAAGTTTGGAAATCTTGCCTAGAGATAGAAAATAATGTAACTCTACACTTCTTTATACAGTAGCTAGTTCCTCTATTTTAAGCTATTTAGAACATGTAGAATTTGTCTGTAGTTCAGAGCTCTTTCTGAATTGCTTCTTTGATTTATATTTTGCTCTTGACTTAATTTGTCATTCTTCATTCCTTTATTATTTGTAATTTCCATTTTTTGTAATAAACTGGTTCTCTCCCCTATGTTATTTTAAGAACAATAAATAAATATACTATCCAGTAGCATATGTGTTTTTCTTTTTAAAAAAAAAACCTAACAGACAAGTGTAATATAACCATGATAGCTCTTTTAATCTCCTTAGACAGCTAACTTAACACCTTCTAGCAGATTTGACAGAATTTTTTTAAAAAATATTGAATTATTGTTGAAAATGTGCCATATTATCCTTCTCTTAAACTATATTAATTTGCCAATTATCAACCTAATTCATTTCAAGTCCCAGCATAGCACAGAGCACAACATTCAGTTCACTTTGCCATGTTGTGCCATCTGTGTACTGTTCCAAAATCCTTACCTGATTGAATTCACTCTTTATAAGAACTGGAAAAATCTCATACTAGCTAACTTACTTCTGACATTTGGCATTATGAATTACTTTTTCAGCAATTATTCAATAATTTTCATGTTCCATGTTGAGGAAATTAGTAAATAGCTTTATTTTCAATAAGCTGCTATGATGCTCTTATAAATATGTTTTTCTTTATTAGTCAGTAATCTTTGAATACTTGAATACGTGCCTCCTATTCTCATGATCTCCTTTTCTATTTTCCTTCCATTATAATGCAATGCTCCTTCAACCACAGGCTTCACAAGCCATTGTTAAAATTCAGTTAATGTATTTGCAGAGTAATCCAGTATTTATGGACAGTTCTCGCCTGGGCAGAAGTCAACTCACGCTTTCAAACTCCCTGCTCCACTCTCCGCTTCTCGCTTCTCCTCCTCTCCTCCAGCATGATCTTTGTTCCCGGTTGCCGCGGTTTCGGGACAGCTGGCATGGCTGTCGTTCCACTGCCGCCAGCATGAAGGGAAAGCCTCCAGCCCCGAGGAATCTGCCCTTTCCTCTCGGCCGCCCAAGGGGGCCCTTCTTGTCCCCCGTCCCTTCAAGACAGGGGAGATCTGAAGACCTGTCAGCGGCAGCTTGGCAGATGGGGTTTTGGCAGAGCTCCGCAGAGCTCGCCATTTCCTCGTCTGTATCCCCCGCGCCAACCGGAAGTCCTAAACTGGTGTTATATTTTTGAAATAATTCTTATTGCCAACAAGGGGCTGGCCCACTTTGTTTAACTTATTTTTGATAATTTTGATATTAAGCACATGTAGGTAATGTGCTTAATAGTCTAATATTAAGCACATTGCCTACATCTAGCTTCAAGATGATAAGGGCACGAGTTGCATGAGTTGCTTTAATCAAGCCTTTCCACTCTTGTAGGACCACAATTACCTTGTAGATACCCTGGTAACCAAGGTGCCAAGAGAGAGTAGTCCAGTCCAGAAGTGGCAGAATTAATTTTTGCCAATACCATTGAAGAGCATTAGGCTGGAGAGCTTAAAAAATAGTACGTCTTTACAATATTTATTATTTATAAATTCAGTTTCAAAGACAAATCATGTGCAGAGGGTTCATGAACAGATCACTTCATTCCAATTTATCTAATATGAAAAATTTAATATCCATAGTATAACAGATTAAATTGAGTTCTGTAACCTCATTCTTGTTCAGAGGGTACTTGAAAACCTAGCCAGAATTACACATAAAGGCTAGGAAGTCTTTTTTTTAATAAATGAGCTTAGTTAATTTATTTACTAATGAACAGGAATACATTTAGCTATGTTGGCAAAAGCTACTGAGAGTATTATTGTATTATGAATTCTTTGATCTCACCGTTATTACATATAGCAGCAGGAAATGCTAACAGAAAATGACTGTCCTTTTCTACATATTGTAGAAGGTGGAACGAGTGGCTTTGAGAGAAAGGAGGAAGAGCTACTACCAAGGCAACAGTCAAATAAAAGTGGGCTGAGATCTTGCCAAGAAAATAAGAGTAAACTTCTCAGACAAGCCCCTCCCTAATTTTTCACGATTATAAAGAGTGGGAGGGAAGAGGGAAGCACATTCAGAAGCATATTTAGCTGGGGGGTGGACTATAGTTCTATAGCACATACATCCTTTTCTCCATTCATCCACCTATTAGAAATTTGGTTTCTAATCCAAATTTGTTGACTGCCACCTGTCCTTTGCTTTATAATATCAAACTGAGTTGCTAACATTCCTTTTGAGCATTAAGAATATTTATTGTTAATTCCATAAGTGAGATAATGGTAGGTGTTGGATCCTTATCCTACGGTTGGGTAGATAATATGTACTGTAACTTTAACTGCTACAAGATGACTAATTGATTAAGTGGTTAAAACAGAAATAAAAGGAAGGCAGGAAGTTCAGTCACTCTTTCTCACTCCTGCTCGTTATATTACTGCTAGAGATACTGTGTCGGAACTAGAACTGTAAGCAAACTTTGTTTTGTATTGAAAGTGTTATCTTTGTTTATGAGAAGCCAGGTTTGTTTGTTTTACAACAAGTAAAGACTATTTATTTTTCTAACAATGTTCAGAGTCTGAGAGTATCTGTGTTGCAACGCTGTCTGGTCCGTCGCTCTACTCTACAGAGGGCAGTTTACCCTCAACACTGGTTATGGGCCCAGTGCCAGAGTGTATGTACCAGTTACAGCAATAAGCGAGTTGCGACACACATTATTGCTCCAGATGTTCTGATACGTATTAAATATCCTGGTGAGGATGGCACAAGGTCAAGCTCCCAAATTATCGCTGGTTACCCGGCTGGATGGCACCAACTACAAATCCTGGTCCACCAAGTACAGTCTCCTGTTGCGCAAAGAAGGGCTATGGGATATAGTGCAGAATCCACCAGATGTGACCTCCTGGAATGCTGACGATGCTGAGGATACCAGGAAGATAGCCGAGTTCCAGAGGAAGAATGAGAGTGCATTGTGTATTATTGGTTTGTCTCTAGACAATACCCAGCTTGTTCATATCGAGGGTGAACAGTCTGCTGCAAAATGCTGGGGAAATTTGAAACGTCTTTATGTTCGTGACACTGTAGGGGCGCAAATTAACATTACATGAAAGTTGTTTCGCACACGACTCCTTAAGGGTGGTGACATGTTAACACACCTGAATTGCATAAAAAGCATTTTTCGAGAG